ACTTTCATAGACAAGATAACACCATTCGAATTGAAGAAATTTCGAGACAACAATTTGTCCATGATGAGGCATTGAAGATCATCACAAGCTTTACTGAAGAAACCAAAAACGATGAAACAAGTGAAGCGAAAATTAGTGATTCTGAAGAAAATCATGACCTTTTAGCAGATGCTGCCTKTGAAAATACATTATTACAACGTATCATAAATCTTCCAAGAACATCGCAGATTTGCTTTGCCACTCTCATTGAATATCTTAGAGATTTCAAGCTTGAAAAAGTCATGAAGCTCTCAAGGTAGGATTTATTTTAGTTAGAAGGTAAATATGCACTTAAAAGAGTTTTTGAGAAAACTTACAGTTTGACAGGAGCTTTTAATAAGATTTTTATACTTTATTAAATATGAATTTGTTTTCTTCTCCTCATAGTAATTTTGTTAGATTTTCAACTGAGGCAAGATGTATGAAATTAAATGGTTGTACTGTCRGAAATCTGGAGATATTCAAGAATGAGGTAAAGTCACTTAAAAACTGCTAAAATGTTTTCGTGATGATCATCATTATCATCATCACCATCATCACCATTATCACCTTCATTATTGTTATCATTATTATTTGTATTAACAGCGTGGTGAAGAACAAGGTAGTTTATTTTGGGTTCTCAACCATACAAGAACCAGCTTTGGCAAGAGATTACTAAAGAAATGGGTCTCACAACCTCWGCTTGATCCTAAGTAAGTAGCTAAAACACTCTCATGGGAAGCATGGGTGGCATAGCGGTGAGAGCGCTTGCCTCTCACTAATGCGACCTGGGTTCGGGTCCCGCTGAGCTCGGTGTCACATGTGAGAAGAGTTGTTTATTGGTTCTCTCCCGTGCTTCAAGGGTTTTCCAGGTTCCCCGGCTTTCCTCCCTCTGCAAAAATCAACTCCTAAATTCCAATTGGAATGAAAGTAGATGAATAGCTACTCTGTAGAAATGCCACTGCTAAATCCCATTTATTTTATTTTTATTTTTATTTTTTTTATTTATTCTTCTTCTCAAACTTTCTTTGGTAAATCAGATTTTTCAACCATCATATCTCTCCTCTCCTCTCCTCATGAAATCTATTTATCTTTCCTAAAGTCATTTACTTTTCATTGGCATCACTCTTTTCTCCAGGGAGATTGAATCAAGACAGCAAAGTATTTCAGAACTTCTGTCCACCGAAATTCAATGCCTTCAAAAGCTAAAATCCTTACTCAGCTCTCTTCCTGACCTTGAGAGAGGGTTGTGTAGTATTTACTCTAAAAAGGTATGTGAACTTTTGTCAGCCCTGCCTCTCTATCCATCTTTGTTTACTCCAGACAGGACTCAACCTGGTTAATAAAGACACCATTGGGACGAGACAGACATCTGCATTGACAAGGTGTCTGTATTAACCTGAGGTCTCCGTATTAACTAGGTGTCCRTCCATAAGACTTGATTCCAGTCAGTACCTTTTTTTTTGCAACAGTGACTTATGAGATTTTGTCTTCAAAAGCCTGCAACAGTTCTTTTACGAATGAAAACTCATACAGTTGCAGCTCTGATAAAACTGCAAGGCAGGGCCCTAGAAATCATGCAACAGTTATGACATTTAATATAATGTTTGTGATAAACAAGTAATCACTCAATTTACATAGATCACTTTTAAATGGATAATTCTCTATTTCCAGTGTTCCACAAAGGAATTTGTCACCATTGTAAAAGCACTTATCAACTTATCAGACATGTTGGATTCTGCTAAAGATGTTGCATCAAAGGAACTGTCCTCCACTCTACTATTCAGGACATTTGGGGAGGTAAAGTATAATACTCTTAAATATATCTTTTTCCTTAAAAAAAACTTTTTTGAGTTGTTTTAGTCGTCAGGGTATTTTTCAAGTAGAAAACGTAACAACAGTACTACAATGACTTCCAGCTTTAGGTTAAATCAATGAGTTTGCTGTGTATCCTTTCCCACTATATTTCGCTTTGACAGCCAATATGTCACTCTTGAAAAATGATAGATGATAGAGACCTTTTTTAACACCTTGGACAATTATTATTCACATGTCTCTATCATTGCAAGCTCACTGTTTTTCTTGCTTTGATGCAAAGGCATGGCTACCTTTGAGGATGGAGCAAGGAACTGTGAAGGGGACTATATTGTGCTCTGCATCCTAAATACACCATTTAAGTTAGGATCTGACAATCTTKTTCTTAGGTTCCAGATTTGCTGAATGGAACTCAAACATTCTTGAGGATGATYGATGAAAGTGCAGCAAGGTGGGCATGGACTAAATATTTCAAACATGAATTACTGCTCTTGTTACGAGGTAGCACTTAATAGCCAGTGGCTAACGAACCTGTGGCCCTTGTCCATGATCAAATTGGAATTTACGAGCAGATTTTGTGGCAGGAGGAATACCGGAGAACCTGGAGAAAAACCCTCAAAACACAAAGAACCATCTAGAAACACATCTAGAACCTCTACTCACATAAGAAGCTGGGCCCGATGAAACCCAGGTCTTGTTGCTGTTACATGTAGGTAACTGAGTTCCATTTTGGAAGAGAGCTACCTATTTTTTGAATTGATTCTTGCAGAACTGGAGATAAAACAAAGATATTTAAGGATTTAACTCATTTCCCTGATATTCTAAAGTGCAACCAGGTAAGAATTAAGGCTATCTTAATGGCAGAGATTATCTTCTATAAAGAAATGTTTGTTTTTTTTACTTTGTATATTTTTTATTGAGTCATGGACTTTTTAAAACTGTGATCGTGACTGCACTTGAGTTTTGAACATCCATCCGTCTGTCCGTCCTTCCATCCATCCATCCTTCCATCCTTTCATTTATCTATTCTTCCATCCATTCATTTATCCATCCATCCAATCATTTTTTTTGTTTGTTTCCAAGTGTTTACTGTAGATTCATTGACTGACCCATCTTCTGTTTTAGGAGATTCAGAGAATAACTGACGAGCTTAAATCTCACCTCTCAACAATACAACAAACTCTACAAAATCCTTCCATGGACTACTGCTGTGTGTCAGGCTGTGAAGTAAGATAGAACAAGCAAGTTTGAAATTTTATTTTGCAGTATTTAAGAGCGAAGGTCCACTAATATCGAGCATCGGCCGGTCACGGTCAAAATTTCGATTTTGCTCATTTTTGGTTTGCYGGARGGTATCACCGAGTAAACAAACGTGGTGTAGTTAGTTTTTCAAAAAACCGCTAAAAATCTGAGAAATCCGAGAAGAACTGTTGGCCTAGCGGCGATCTAAAAAGTATGCAAATTTTCAGTTGAATCAAACAGGTCCAAAAACAACTAACGCATACAGAATAGGAAAAAGATATGAAAACTATATGTTTATAAATTGAYAGAAGAGATGTTTGAGACTTGATTGGGTATAAAATAATGGTTTTAGCTGTTTATTGAAAGCGGTCAGATGATATTTAGAATTGAGTGGTATTCACACATAGATCTGACCCTTGATACGCCAAAAAAAATTTAATCAAGTGCGCAACTTTTTTTCTCAATGAAACTCACGTCATGAACTATTTAGATGTACTTCTAGAACATATCCAAAAATCAGTTTGGGTTATTGTATTTYGTGYTTATACGGAGGCCGTGAACATTGGGTATATTCGACATATACCGTGACTGAAATCGACAAGTGTTTGTTGTTTCTGGTCGCTATTTTCTCATTCGTTTCTATTTTCATCCGGAATTAAAGCGCGAAAATGCATTTTCTTWAAAAAATACCTTTTATTAGTAATTTACATTATTTTAGCAGCTACAACATTCGTTTAAGTAGATTCGGATTTCGGGACAATCCCGGTATTTTATTTTCCTATTCGGCTATTCGGCGTCTTTTTGTAAACTTTTGTATATTTTCATTTAGTTTTAAAAGATGGGCGATTCTTCGCCGCGAAGTGGATCTTATTAAAATAGGCAATGGGGAATGTCCGTGATTGTGGAATCGGAATGGAGACTGAGACGARCAGTCTCCTTTAYTAACCACCCTCGCCTGGGGAGAAGGTAAAAAGGAGACTCTGCTCGAAGGGTACACTTCAARGTGTCATGAAATCTTTTACTTGTGTYTTCATGAGGAGAAATCTTTTAAATTTMAGCAGTAATTTCTGATTGTCAGGAAAAAAACATTCGTTTGTGGTTTTACCTTTTTTGGGGGGGGGGAGGGGGGCGGGAGGATGACCTTATGCTTTCCTCCCTCCTTCCTTTCTTCCTTCCTTCCTTCCATTTTTCCCTTGCTTTTCCTTTTTTCGTTCCTATTCCTCCCTCCCTTCCTCCCTCCCTCATTCGTTCGYTTTTATGTTTCTTTGCTTTCTTTCTTTTTCTTTTATTCCTTTTCAATTTATGGGATTTAACATTTATGTGGTGTGAAAATTCCCCGCCCTGTCCAGGGTACACAGGAAAATATTTGCTGTTAAAATTGTTGAGCTACGCATTAAATCTCCCGTATCTCCGTGCATTCACACTGTTTTAAAATGTATGCGCGTTAAACCCCCGGTCTCGTCACATTAATTCCCCGCCCTGTCCCGGGGTCGGGGTCTCGGGGTCGGGGTCTCGGGGTCGGGGGCTTCAGTTGACTAGTGTATTACTCCGGCAGCTCAGCTGAGCAGCAAGTCGAACCGAACTTTTAACCAAAATTTTCGTCCAGGAACGTTGTTCTAATTGGGCATGTACATCTTATCATTTGGGATTTTGCAGAATGCCGACAAACGTGCATGAAACTGCTTTATAATTTGATTTAAAGACATATTATCTTTAATGGCTTTTGCATGTTCATGTTCCTTAGTTAAACTGCATTGATTTCRTGCGATGTAAACCGTACCCAAAATTTTGAGATTTCTCAAAAGGAAAGTTTTTAAAGCTGAAACTATCTTATCAGGTGGAGCAGGTAAAATCTTACAGTAGGTCTTCAATTGTGTCAGTTTTACTGGCTTAATCCGACTGTTATTAATTTTCTTTAGAGAATCTACCCGAAACAAATGTTGTAACTGCTAGAATAATGTAAACTGCTAATAAAAGGTATTTTTTAAAAGGAAACGCATTTTCGCGCTTTAATTCCGGATGAAAATAGAAACGAATGAGAAAATAGCGACCAGAAACAACAAACACTTGTCGATTTCAGTCACGGTATATGTCGAATATACCCAATGTTCACGGCCTCCGTATAAACACAAAATACAATAACCCAAACTGATTTTTGGATATGTTCTAGAAGAACATCCAAATAGTTCATGAAGTGAGTTTCATTGAGAAAAAAAGTTGCGCACTTGATTAAATTTTTTTTGRCGTAKCAAGGGTCARATCTATGTGTGAATACCACTCAATTCTAAATATCATCTGACCGCTTTCAATAAAYAGCTAAAACCATTATTTYATACCCAATCAAGTCTCAAACATCTCTTCTRTCAATTTATAAACATATAGTTTTCATATCTTTTTCCTATTCTGTATGCGTTAGTTGTTTTTGGACCTGTTTAATTCAACTGAAAATTTGCATACTTTTGAGATCGCCGCTGGGCCAAAAGTTTTTCTCTGATTTCTTAGATTTTTAGCGGTTTTTTGAAAAACTAACTACACCACGTTTGTTTACTCGGTGATACCCTCCAGCAAACCAAAAATGAGCAAAATCGAAATTTTGACTGTGACCGCAAATTCTCGATTTTGCTCGATGTTAGTGGACATCTGCTCTAGACCTCACCAACGATCGACTCAAATTGTAAATGGCAAAAAGGGGTGATTGGGTTTCCTGTGTCCATGATGACGGTGATTAATGATGCCTTATGTCTATTTCTAGTTCCTTATTGAGGTTCGTAATGCTAAACTGAGTACAGTTCCAGCAGACTGGACCAAGATTAGCTCGTGAGTACTTTTCTAGTCACAGCATTTTTATTGGTCTGGCACTGTTGGCTTGGTTATGGAACAGTGCATGTATGTTCTTTTTCATGCGCGTGCCATAGTCTGATACAAAGTTGGTGTTCATACATTTATTGTATTTTATCAGGTCCAGCCTCGAATAGGCCCTTTGCAGCTCAGTAATCACGTGCTGATTAATTCACTGAGAGCAAAAGAATGAATATTTTGATTCCCATGGGTAAAATTTACTGGATTGCAAACAAACTTTCTACAACCTGTTTCAAGAGATCGTAATAAACTACATTTCGTAACACACTGGATACACATGATTGCATTGCGTTCTTTACAAGTAGCTAAAAAGAATCACCAATTTAAAATAAAAGAAAAAATTTTGCTCTCCAGTACAGACACGTGACCATTAGCTGCAAAGGGCCTGTTGTAGTCATTGTTTTATGGTCACTCCTGCAAATTTGGGAAAGGTCTGTTCGCAATGTTCTTGGAAAAGCATCCAGTTTTGATGTATTATGTGAATTTGATTAACAGGACAAAACAAGTTACTCGATTCCGAACACCGTTTGTCGAGGAGCACTACAAGTTGCTATGCCAACAGAGAGAGCTTCTGTCACGTGTTTGTAACCAAGCTTGGCTGGATTACCTGGACATGTTTAACCAAAGCAACACTCGTTACCACAAGGCAATTCGACTTGTTGCAATCACTGATTGCTTGATGTCCTTAGCAACTGTTGCTAAGCAGCCTGGATATTCTCRGTAATGCACAGCTTTGTTTTTATTAATTAGCTGATAATGGCATTTATTGTTAATAGTAAGAAATGTAAAGATGATGATACCAGTGATGATGATGATGCCTATGGATGATGTCTAAAGGTAATGGAGTTGCAGATTATTAGTCCCGGTGGTGTGATGATGATCATGATTACAATGATGGTGATTACAATGATGGTGATTACAATGATGGTGATTACAATGATGGTGATTACAATGATGGTGATTACAATGATGGTGATT